ACAAGTATTACTAATTTACCCATAGCTGTAAGGAGAAGTGTTGGGCGTTTCTCAAGATTATTTACGCGTGAATATAACGAACCCGACTGGAATTGGAACTTCCCTCTCTGATTAACAATTCCGAGCCATTATCCGTTAGATACAAGTATCCAAGCCAGTATTCCCAAACAGTCATCCATCTAAGGTACACGAATTGGTGTTTCAACGTGATGTGGCCGTAAGCTATTTAAAGCCAGAATCATGTCCTTGTCTTCGTGGTAATCAAAACCACGTTTCAGCAACTGTGGCCTTCAGGTGTCTATCATTCCCGGAATTTTGAAATGTAGCTTTTATTTTATTTATCGTCTTGGGTATGACGATAAACTACATCCGCGTCCTGAGTAAGACGATAAACTACATCCGCGTCCTGGGTAAGACGATAAACTACGTCCAACAGCAAGGCTTCTGATCAGGAGGTTTTGAGAAGCGTGGAACCACCTCTTAATTGCTTGTGTTCCCAGGTCCACCCTGACCCGGGGTGGTAGCATCTGTTAGGGTCCCAGCTATGGGCAAATAGTTAACACCCAAACTTTGTTACAGTTTTTTGTGTATATGTATGTATTATGTAACTAGTGAGTTACTCCAAATGCCTTGACTCGCTTTATAGTCTACCAATAGAAGGTTAACCAATCAGAAGCCGCAAAACATTCTATCCGTCGTGTATAAAGGCGGCCATTTTTGTTTAACCTACCCGAATGACCAGTGCCAATTTGTCAGGCGAAGATGACAGAAGGAAGTACTACGCTCTGCTACTTTGCTGCGATATCCACTGCTAACCTGAACTACACTTTCCTACTGTCTCCGAAATATTCACTGCTGACCTCTGGATTCTATACTCGAAGACGACCGTCAAAATGTCTAACAGAATTGTGTAAAAATAGGTTTTAATACCAGAAATACATTGTAATAAAAAAATTATTAGCAGCAATAATTTTTGAAGGAAAAATTATTGTCAGTAATACTTTTAAAAAATACCAGCAATACAAACAGTTAAAAGATTCGTTGAAAAAATATGACCAGCCATAGATTTCGTCAAAGAAAAATATTCCCAGAAACATATTACTAGCAATGAAAATTTTGTCGGCATTAAATAACCCATTGAGGTAAAACCGTAAAAACAAAACAAACCAGACCAAACCAAAAAACGTCTGACTTTTGAACAAGGTGAAACATCCTGTTGAGCCAAGGATAATGTGGTTCTTCTCAGATGAAAAGATATTTTTATCACTACTAGCTACATCCAGAATAACAAATGGCTTCCCGACAATCCAATATGGCGTTCCTCGTGTCATGAAGACATGTCTACGGATATTTTTCTTGTTTGAGCAGAGCAAAAAATAAACAATGCTCAATAGATACCTATAGATACAATAATCTTTAAATTAGTAAATTTTGAAAGGATACATCTCATTGTCCAACTAGTAAGCTTCGTTTAACAACACTTATTAGGATAGGCAGTTGGCTTTTCCTTTTTATTATAAGGACTTCAATTATGTTTAATCTTTAGACACGTGAAAAAACCGTCTGACAAGAGCAAAGAAACAAGGTGAACAAGGTAAAACATCCTGTTGAGTCAAGGATAATCTGGTTCTTCTCAGATTAAAAGATTTTTTATCACTGCCAGTTACATCCAGAACAACAGATGACTTCCCGACAATCCAATATGGCGTTCCTCGTATCATGAAGACCAAGTTTCGCCAAACTGTGATGGTTTTTGGCTATTCCTCCAGTGAGGGTGATGTCATGTCACCTCATCTCTTTGAACAGGGTTTCAGGTTCAATTCGTATGGCTATGTGGAGTTACTGAACACTATGGTCAAACCTTTGTTGGAGAGAATGGCTAATGGAAGACCATATGTGTTGCAGTAAGATTCACCTTGGAGAAGTTTCTAACGATCGATGTCTGTTCGAAATCTGAACTGTAAAACGAATTGTCTTTTTCTTTTAAAATGGCGTCACATTGAAAATAAAAATATAAATCCAGTCACTCACTGTCTTCGTTGATCATTTTGACGACAGCTTCCACTTGGTAATAAGGTTTCTTATTTTCTTTCTCGGGTAAAATGTTGATGTAGGCCGTGTAATAATAATAATGCAATTTTTCGACTGGGACCATGCTTCCGAAGCGGGACCATTTGGCACTCCTGAAAAGAAATCAAATCAAATATTTTAGAATGTATTTCACAAGAAATAGCAACAAATTACCTATTCTTCTTCTATGTACCGTCTGCCTTCAGAACGTAGGCGATCATGGCTCTCTTTCCTGTCCGTTGTAGCTCTTAATAAATGTTGTCTTTGTCTTATCTATACTAAACACTGTTCCGCCATCCATTTACACAAGCTCATTCTTCTTCTTCTACTTCTTCTTCTTCTTCTTCTTCTTCTTCTTCTTCTTCTTCTTCTATCTCCCCGCCGCCATCTTCTTATGTTATCTCTTTCATCATTTGAACACTTTTAAGTCGTTTCTTTCTTTCTTTTTTAAATTGGGAATCCTGCCCGTTGAATGTTTTCTCTATTTATACGCGCCTTAACTGTTTAACTGTTTTTCTCTCTCTTATTCCTTACTTTTTCCACACATCACTCTCCTCCTTCCTCCACGAGGATTGACGACTTTTACATTTTTTCTATATATTCGCCATTCCCTCTTTCTTTTGCGTCATTCACCCCCTCTTTACTTCATAATCTTTTCTTCCCACCACCGATCCTTCCCTCCTACTATCCCTCATTCATTGACCGCTTCGCTTTCTTTCTTATCACTTCTCCCCTCTTCTAAAGTCTCCCCCTCTTTTTTATCTTCTTTTTTATTCGTACAATGAACAGTTTTTATTTAACATTTCTTCTTCTTCTTCTTCTTCTTCTTCTTCTTCCCCTTCTCCTTCTGCTGCTGCTGCTGCTGCTTCTTCTTCTTCTTCTTCTCCTTCTTCTCCTTCTGCTGCTGCTGCTGCTTCTGCTTCTGCTTCTTCTTCTTCTTCTTCTTCTTCTTCTTCTTCTCCTTCTGCTGCTGCTTCTTCCGCTTCTTCCGCTTCTTCTTCTTCTTCTTCTTCTTCTTCTTCTTCTTCTTCCTCTTTTTCTGCTGCTGCTGCTTCTTCTTCTTTTTCTGCTTCTCCTTCTCCTTCTGCTGCTGCTGCTGCTTCTTCCGCTTCTTCTTCTTCTTCAGCTTCTTCTTCTGCTGCTGTTTCTACTTCTGCTGCTTCTGATGCTGCTTGTGCTGCTTTTTACTCATTTGAAAAACCATTTCATGGCCGCTACGTCACTAGGCTCTTTCTATTTTTGCCTATAGAATTTTGGAATAAATTAAGGCGGAGGATAGAGTAAATAAATAGTAAAGAGAAAAAATTAAGATGAAAAATTTTCAAATTCGTCTAGACATAGGCTGATCTTGACCAATATTTAACATGTTACACTTGTTCAAAATCAGAATTTACATGAAGAAATACAATCGTTAAATTTAAGAAAATGTTTTTTTTTTAGATAAAATTAAGGAAATTTTAATAATCAATATATATTTAAATAAATTTTCTCTCTTTATTTTTCTATTCCCTCTCCCATTTTAAGTACATTTTATCTTAGTGATGACTTTCCCTCCTCTTTCTTCCTATTTACAAAAACATTATGATTTATTCTTTATCTAACTCCTTGGTGTTGAAAAGTCCGATCTAGGCAAAATGGCCATATATCATATGGGATATTGAATTTTATCTTCATGTAATTTCATATATGTTCTATAATAAATATATTGTTCAATTTCAATATTTTATATTACTAGGATTCACTTGGTTTATTTACCACGGATTTTTACCTATACATATCTATATACCTACTATTCGGACGTCTCTTCAGATCCAGCAAAGGATTCATTCTTGTGGGTCGATGGTATTTTCCTTATTTTCCATGAATATTTTGGTCTGATTTGGTTTTTGTTTCCAATCTCCAAGATATGTCCAGAAAACATTGTGCTGTTCGCGTATTTACTATTTGTAAATGTTGTTTTGTGTTTGTAGTTTCTTCGTTTCCAGTGTCCTTCAGTTATTCCTTTGTATATTTTTCTTCATTATCTGCTGATTTTACTGTGGTTTTGTATATTACATTGTCCTGCAAGAAATTGCCGTTTTAGGGAGATTCGTTCTTTGTTCTGCAAATTGGTTTAATTTGTTCAGGTGGTTTCTTGGTTGTTTTCCCGTTGTGGATTTTTTTAAACATTTTTGTCATGTTCTCGGTGCAACTGTAGCAGATTTTTGCTGTGTTTTTGAAAAACATTTTGTACAGAGTGCTTGATGCGGGGGAGTGTTTGTATATGAGTTTAATGAATATTTTCCTACGTTTTTACGTTTTTATATATATATATATATATATATATATATATATATATATATATATATAGTAAATTAAATTAACCTGCTCTCCTGGTCTTATGATTCGAATCTCAGAGTGAAACTTTAATTACGGTAACTATGCTTTTGTTTATATTTTATTAAAGCTCTATTTGTTTTCGAGATTTTTTACTGCAATTTTAAAACGTTAGTTTTACTTAACTATCCCCGAGAATATAGATTAATATACTGCTTGATATAACGCCATCTAGCGGTCGTTAAAATTTCTTTGGTGTGTAATCTCCCAAAATTTATGATTTGTTATTAAATCTTTTCGAATTTCTTTTTTTCTTGTATTTTTCCATCAAAATCAAATTAATTTTATTTATCCATTTGAATGAAAAATTACTGCTTTAACCTGAAGAATTAAATCATAAAAGTTCATAAAAAATATCCACTCTTCCATTATAGAATATCTGACTTCAGGTACAACGGAAGATGGAGTGTTGACTGTCTAGAAGCAGGCGACTCTAACTTCTAGGCAGCGATCGATTAAAAATAGCGTCCACTGATTAACTGATAAGGTCATTGCCAAGAATTAATTCTGGATTAAATCCTTGGCTAATTTTGTCCAGTTTTTAAACTTTACTTTTATGACATTTTGGCTTGGATCCAAAATGAACGTGCATTTGAGAAGTTCGTTGGGTAAATGAGGACAGTGTTGTACGAAGGAAGGAAGGAAGGAAGGAAGGAAGGAAGGAAGGAAGGAAGGAAGGAAAAAGAAGGAAGGAAAGAAGGAAGGAAGGAAAAAGAAGGAAGGAAGGAAATAGTAGGAAGGGAGGAAGTAAGGGAGGAAAGGAAGGAAGTAAAGGAAGGAAGGAAGGAAGGAAGGAAGGAAGGAAAATGTGAAAAAGATGAAAAAGAAGAAAAAACAAACACGCAAAGAAATGTATGAAAGAAGGAAGGAAGGAAATAGAAGGAAGGAAGGAAGGAAGGAAGGAAGGAAAAAGAAGGAAGGAAATAGAAGGAAGGAAGGAAGGAAGGAAGGAAGGAAAAAGAAGGAAGGAAGGAAGGAAAATGTGATAAAGAAAGATGAAAAAGAAGAAAAAACAAACACGCAATGAAATGTATGAAGGAAGGAAGGAAGGAAGGAAGGAAGGAAATAGAAGGAAGGAAGGAAGGAAGGAAGGAAGGAAGGAAGGAAGGAAAAAGAAGGAAGGAAAAAGGAAGGAAGGAAGGAAGGAAGGAAGGAAAAAGAAGGAAGGAAAAAGAAGGAAGGAAAAAGAAGGAAGGAAGGAAGGAAGGAAGGAAAAAGAAGGAAGGAAGGAAGGAAGGAAGGAAGGAAAAAGAAGGAAGGAAAAAGAAGGAAGGAAGGAAGGAAAATGTGATAAAGAAAGATGAAAAAGAAGAAAAAACAAACACGCAAGGAAATGTATGAAGGAAGGAAGGAAGGAAGGTAGAAAGGAAGGAAAAAAAAAGAAGAAGGAAGGAAGGAAGGAAGGAAGGAAGGGGAGGAAAAAAGAAGGAAGGAAGAAGGGAAGGAAGGAAGGAAGGAAGGAAGGAAGGAAGGAAGGAAGGAAAAAGAAGGAAGGAAGGAAAAAGAAGGAAGGAAGGAAGGAAGGAAAATGTGATAAAGAAAGATGAAAAAGAATAAAAAACAAACACGCAATGAAATGTATGATTAAAAGAAAGAAAGAAAGAAAGAAAGAAAAATATAATTAAAGCAAGAAAAATTAAAGAAATTAACAAACGAAAGAAAGAAAGAAAGAATGAAGGAAGGAAGGAAGGAAACTTAAAAAGTATGATTAAAGCAAGAAATAGTAAAGAAAGAAACAAACGAAATGGTGAGTAAAGGAAGAGAGAATACAAGAGAGTAGAAAGAAAGAATAAAAAAAGCAAATATTTTAAAAGGAAGATCGAAAAAAGAAAAGATAATGTATAGAAGACAGAAGAGAAAAACATGGAAACAAGAAAAAGTGACGAATGGCTTTAAAGGCAAGAACGCAGACGATAAGGAACGATGTTACATCATAATCGCGTTCATTTATTGAATGGAATTGCCCCATGCACTTGTTGCCGACTCTTAACGGATTTAGATATTCAGATATCCAGTCACGGGGGACAGATCGAACTGACGGCCTTGAAAATTGGCCGACACTGAGTCGGTTGATTATGCCATCAAATCAGTTTGAAAAATGGACGATAACAAAAGGTGATACGACTTAGCCATATGAATAAATTACTGCACAGCAAAACTTCCATTTCTTCTTCTTCTTCTTCTGCATCTTATTATTATTATTATTATTATTATAAGAAACTAATATACAAAACGCCATTACTTTTACAGTAATCCTTGTATTAATTCTTGATTATTAGAAATCTTTATTAATTTACAATTCTCATGGCAAATCATTAGCTATTGATTTAGATTATACAAATGAAAGCCATATTCTATCAGAAATGCTTGCTTTCATTCCTGACCACTGACAATCCCTCTATTCCTGGTTTTCAATGCATTCTTATAGTAAAACTATTGACAATGCATTTACATTATTCATATGAGAGCCCTATTCTATCAGAAATGCTTACCTTCATTCCTGACCACTGACAATCCCTCTCTTCCTGATTTTCAATGCATTCTTATAGTAAAACTATTGACAATGCCTTTACATTATACATATAAGGAACCTATTCTATCAGAATGCTTTCCCGTAGGAAAATTATTAGCAATGGATTTACATTATACATAACATCCTTAAGCAATCATTAATTTTAATCAAATATATATATGTGTGTGTGTGTGTGTGTGTGTGTGTGTGTGTGTGTGTGTATCATATTGTCATATATGGTGGACTCTCTCGTCATATTCGACGTATCAGGGTCAAGCAGATTAGTTCCTTTGAACCGACAATCCAGACCCCAGCACATCTTAGTTGATTATAATGGTGAAGGCTTTGTGCAGAACCACCCAAGGATCGAATACAGAGACCTGGTGCACTAAGACTCTTCACAGGTTTACAATTCAGTAGCCATCCAAGGCTATAGAACCTGATCTGTCCTGCTATTTACCCATAGCTGGAGGGAGAAGAAGAGGATTCATACCTTTCCCAAGGGTATTAGCACGTAAGTGAATGGAATGGATTAGACTGGAATTCGAACTTGGCTCTCCGAGTCCTCAATCCGATTATATATAATCTTCAAGTAAATAGAATTGAGTTCTCCGAGCCGCTGGCGTATTTCGTACGGAGAAAAACGTTAAAATTCCCTTCTTTTCTGCGGTACGACGTTATCTGACTGCGCATGTGCAGGAATGAGCGGCGAATAAATGATCTCAATGAAATCGGATAGATTATATTCACAAGACACATATTAAAAAAAAAAAAAACATCTTTAAATTAAAAATTCCCAGCGCCTCTCGTTCGTGAGCATGAGCACTCCGATGAAGTCTTAAAGGGTGAAAAGCGTCATATCTTGTATATATATATATATATATATATATATTGATAATATTAGTGTTATATATATATATATATATATAGATAGATTGATGATATTAGTGGTGAATATATATATATATATATATATATATATATATATATATATAAATTCCCAAGAGGATAGAATCCAGGTAGAACTCAATGTCCAGGACAGAGCAAGAATATAATATAAAAGGCTCAAATACTAATATTCCATGGTTATAATTTATTACATTGGAATTGTAATCAGGATCTAATTCATCAGACCTACAAATGATTTTGAGCCTTTTATACTATATATATATATATGTGTGTGTGTTTGTGAGTGTGTGTGTGTGTGTGTGTGTGTATGTGTGTGTGTGTGTGTAGTGTGTGTGAAATTTTGTCGATAGCTTTGCTAGCACGAAGTCACAAGTCATCGTGACCGAGGACTTAAGTGTTCTGGCGTTGTTCAGATTGTGGATCATGCTAGATAAGACGCTCTCTCGCAGAAACTGGTACTAAGATCATCTTAGCATAGTTGCAGTATAAACCACAGGTGGGCTCTCTGGGTGTTGAACAAAACACAAATACGCCTGAGGAAGGGCCTGAATAGGAGGAATTGGCTAGCCGCCCTAGGAGACGGCTATTCTCGAATATGAGTGACCAGCTATACATACCCACAAATATATTTTTTTAATTCTGACCTTATGCTCCCCCACCCGCATTTAACTTTAGGCAAAAAGGTAACGATTTGTTTTTAAATTTCTCTAAAAAACATTTTTATCATCTTTTGTGTAGCGATTCCAAATGTTTTTATAAACTCTTATAATAAATATATAATAATAATAATATTTATTTATTATGACTTTATCGTATAGACAAAAACAGTTCACTCACTACAAAGATGCAACTTCGTTTCGATGCATTTCAATTGCACCTCGACGTGTGAGAACCAAAAATGGCTATGGACTATTTTTTTTTTTTTTTTGTAGGCAAGCCGTGTATGAAACGTCACTTCCTTTTTTCCATTTGTTTGAGAAACAAATATATGCATAAAACAAAAAGGTGACGGAGTGAAACAATAGTGCTTAAACATTTTTTGCTTCTCACCAGTCGAGGTGCAATTGAAATGCCCCGAAACGAAGTTGCATCTTTGTAGTGAGTAAACTGTTTTTGTCTATATGAAAAAATATACGCACGCACACACTCAGACACATATTATTATTATTATTATTAGTAGTAGTAGTAGTAGTAGAATTAGTAATATCTGAAGCAATGAGAACGAAAGTAATATATAAAACGTTCACAGCATTAATCCAAAAGAGAGCTCGATACCAATAGTAAAGCTATAATTATTTATTATAATTTGTTCATGGCAGTAGTATTCAAACAATAGTAGATTTTTAAATATGTAAGATTCTGATTTGATATGATTCATCTGTTTAACGGCATGTCAACACCTTATGGGTCATTTAACACCGAAATTTAATTTTCTTGAGAAAATTACTAAAAATATGACATATGTCATTCTCTTTTCACAGTTGAATACAGAGCAGATGATACTCAGGTTTGATACATATACATGTATATACAAAATTACTAAAGTCAGTGATATGTGTTTATGTTGTATTTTTGTTGAAGTTATATTTTGGAATGCAGAGACAGACAGACAGACAGACAGACAGCATGTAACCGATCTCACAAGTTTGTGTAAATGGACATCAGAACAGGAATCGGGAATGACATTGCTGAGAGAGGAAAGAATAGGAAGTTGTGGAGAGCCGTCATTGACCATGTCCTGTAAGGACACGTCAAACAGAAGAAGATTTATTTGCTTCGTAACGAGACCAAATCTGACACCAAGGTCATGTTTACGTACATCCTCTTAGTGTAATGGGGAGGTTCTGCCTGGGAGAGGGATCTCCAGTGACTTGGCATGTTTTTATTTATGCTGTATTATATCAGTAGATGAGACACAATTTTTCAGAACGATAAGGTCAGGAAGAGATTTTTGAAGGTTGCAAACGGATTGTGGATTTTGAACAATTATCAAATTCTTTCGAGATATTTTTAAAAAAATATTCGATGTTTCAAATTTGTGAAATGTTGTCAGATTTGATTTCTTCCCTTGCATGAGATATTTAGACAGCCAGATTCTACCCCTGTACCCCAGGGGAAAGAACGGTCGCCATTCCTTTTATATCAATCAACCAACATGGTGTTTGTCAAGTTAGATTCAAGTCAAACATTTTATCCCTTAATAGGCAAGAGTTTCTTTGTTTGTTTTATCTTTCTTTCTTTCTTTCTTTCTTTCTTTTACAGGCATTACTTTCTTTCTTTCTTTTACATCCATTTCTTTCTTTCTTTCTTTCTTTCTTTCGCAGAAATTAAATTCTTACTTTCTATATTTGTTTTGTATATTTATTTATAAAAGTTCCTTTCTTTGTTTCCTTCTTTATTTATTTCCTAAACATTTCTTTCTTTCTTTCTTTCTTTCTTTCTTTCTTTCTTTCTTTCTTTATTTATTTATTTATTTCCCCAATTTCTTCCTTTCTTTCTTTCTTTCTTAGTCCTCCCTTTCTTTCTGAGTTTCTTTCTTTCTTTCTTCGTCCCTTTTCTAACCTTTCTTTCTTTCTTTCTTTCTTTCTTTCTTTCTTTCTTTCTTTCTTTCTTTTTTCTGAGTTTCTTTCTTTCTTTCTTCGTTTCTTTTCTAATCTTTCTTTCTTTCTTTCTTTCTTTCTTTCTTAGTCCTCCCTTTCTTTCTGAGTTTCTTTCTTTCTTTCTTCGTCCCTTTTCTAACCTTTCTTTCTTTCTTTCTTTATTTATTTATTTATTTATTTATTTCCCCGATTTCTTTCTCGCTTTCTTTCTCGCTTTCTTTCTTTCTTTATTTATTTATTTATTTATTTATTTATTTATTTCCCCAATTTCTTCCTTTCTTTCTTTCTTTCTTTCTTTCTTTCTTTCTTTCTTAGTCCTCCCTTTCTTTCTGAGTTTCTTTCTTTCTTTCTTCGTCCCTTTTCTAACCTTTCTTTCTTTCTTTCTTTCTTTCTTTCTTTCTTCCTTTCTTCGTTCCTTTTCTAATCTTTCTTTCTTTCTTTCTTTCTTTCTTTCTTTCTTTCTTTCTTTCTTTCTTTCTTAGTCCTCCCTTTCTTTCTGAGTTTCTTTCTTTCTTTCTTCGTCCCTTTTCTAACCTTTCTTTCTTTCTTTCTTTCTTTCTTTCTTTATTTATTTATTTATTTATTTCCCCGATTTCTTTCTCGCTTTCTTTCTCGCTTTCTTTCTTTATTTATTTATTTATTTCCCCAATTTCTTCCTTTCTTTCTTTCTTTCTTTCTTTCTTAGTCCTCCCTTTCTTTCTGAGTTTCTTTCTTTCTTTCTTCGTCCCTTTTCTAACCTTTCTTTCTTTCTTTCTTTCTTTCTTTCTTTCTTTCTGAGTTTCTTTCTTTCTTTCTTCGTTCCTTTTCTAATCTTTCTTTCTTTCTTTCTTTCTTTCTTTCTTTCTTTCTTTCTTTCTTTCTTTCTTAGTCCTCCCTTTCTTTCTGAGTTTCTTTCTTTCTTTCTTCGTCCCTTTTCTAACCTTTCTTTCTTTCTTTCTTTATTTATTT